AGATTCCTGACAACACTCAGTGGCTGGGAGAGTCCTGATGGCACCCAGTTGCCAGGAATGTCCTATTGTTTTGCCAATTATTAGGCCTAGCATAAAGGACACAGCTATCATAAAGATAAACCAATAACCAAATTGTATTTGATACAAAAGAGTCAGTACATGGGTGAGCACTGGGGGTATAAACAAGTCAGATTATACATAATCGACATCAATCCCACTGACCCCAACAACGACACCACATGACCAACAATGGGTGGAATAAATGGTGAAATTCAGTCTCCCATAGAAGGGACAGGAGACAACTGAGTCAACAAGCCAAACACATCAGACCAAGGAAGCCACACACTGAATCTCTACACAGCCCACGTTTACAAAAGCCAGACCTGACTGGAGCCCAGTCCCAGGGAGGCAGGAGGTCCTTCCCCAACAGGGAACTCTGCACAGTGCCTCCACCTCACAGACAGACACTGCCCCTCCTGCCAGTGGTCCCAGCTTTTATCCCCAAGTGGGACACCTGAGCTTCGCTTCCTTAATGCAGACACCTGGGGCTCCTTTACCTCATGGCTCTCCCTGCCAGGCCGGCCACTCCCTGGAGGGAAGCCTAAAGGCAAACTCACCCCCTCTGGGAGGGGCTGTGGGAATCACCCAGATGTCAACCTTAATTTGGGGCTTGGGGTTGAAACTCCAGCATTTCACCTATGGGCACACAGTTATCGGTAGAGTCCTGTCAGCACTTGGTTGCCGGGAGGGTCCCAAGGGCATGTGGTTACTGGGAGAGTCTTGAAAGCACTTGGTTGCCAGGAGAGACCCTATGGCACCCCACCCAGACTCTCCCAACAACCGTGTGCCCTTGGGACTCTCCTGGCAACCACGTGCCCTTGGGACATTCCCAGCAATGGTGTGCCCTCAGGACTATCCCAGCACCCCACATGCCCTCGGGATAACCCGGTAACCATGTGCTGTAGGGTCTCCCCCAGGAACTGAGTGCCCTCAGGACTCTACTGGCAACCGAGTGCTACCTGGACGTACCCAGCAACTGTGTGCGCTCAGGACTCTTGCAGCAACAGTGTGCCCTTGGGGCATTCCTGGCAATCGCGTGCCCTCGGGACATTCGTGGCAACTGCATGCCATCAGGACTCTCCCAGCAACCATGTGCCCTCAGGACCGTTTTGCTGATTAAGGATACCAATTAAACTCAGACACCAGAGTGAAGAGCAAGCGTATTTTACTAAATATAACAATAATACAGAACAGTAAGAAAAGACAGATTAGTGCACTTAAACAAGTAGGAAAATACAGGGTAATGCATCAAATCATTACTACCTGAGAGAAAGGATAGTGACTAAAAAAGATCCATCACCACTTGCACATGTTACCATCATCCAGCCCCGCAGTGGCTGGGCAGCCCCGGTTACAGCGAGGGTTTGGAGAGCCTGTCCTGGCAAGGGGGAAATCCTACGCGGTGCGTCCCCCATAGGTGAGGCTGACAAAGTCGCTGTGAGCGGGTCCAGCCTTATATACCAGAGATCGACAGGCCAGAATAGCTGGCACCTTTGTTTTGAGCAGAAATACCTGGTTTCAATCTCACATTAGCTAAGGGAGTTCCTCTGCTCATCTAATTGAATTAAGCACAAGGTCTCACATCAGGTCTCAGTGACAGACAACTGTCTCCATGATGCTGGAGCTGCCGGGAGGGCCTGAGGGCACTCACTTGCTGGGATGTCCTGAGGGCACGTTGTTACCAGGAGAGTCCTATTGGACTTTCCTGGCAACCATGTGCCATAGGGTCTGTCCTGGCAACCGAGTGCTGTTGGGATGTTCCTGGCTACCACCTGCCGTCAGGACTCTCCAGTAACCAAGTGCCCTCGAGACTCTCCCAGTAACTGCATGCGCTCGGGGCATTCCCAGTAACCCAGTGTTGTGAGGACTCTCCTGGTAAACACGTGCTGTCAGGAAATTCCTGGCAACGGAGTGCCGTTGGGACATACCAGGTAATCGAGTGCCCTTGGAACTCTCCTGGTAAACTACGTGTCCTCAGGAATCTCTTGGCAACTGCGTTCCCTCGGGTCTCACCCCATAACCAAGTTTTGTCAGGACTCTCCTGGCAACCGCCTGCCATCGGGACTCAGCCTGTAACGGCCTGCCGTCGGGACTCAGCCGGTAACGGCCTGCCGTTGGGACTCAGCCGGTAACGGCCTGCCGTCGGGACTCAGCCGGTAACGGCCTGCCGTTGGGACTCAGCCGGTAATGGCCTGCCGTCGGGACTCAGCCGGTAACGGCCTGCCGTTGGGACTCTCCCGTTAGCGGCCTGCCGTTGGGACTCTGTCGGTAACGGCCTGCCGTCGGGACTCTCCCGTTAACGGCCTGCCGTTGGGACTCTCCCGGTAATGGCCTGCCATCGGGACTCCTCAGCCGGTAACGGCCTGCTGTCAGGACTCTCCCGGCAACGGCCTGCTGCCGGGACTCCTCAGCTGGTAACGGCCTGCTGTCAGGACTCTCCCGGTAAGGGCCTGCCGTCGGGACTCTGTCGGTAACGGCCTGCTGTCTGGGCTCAGCCGGTGACGGCCTGCCGTCGGGACTCAGCCGGTGACGGCCTGCCGTCGGGACTCTCCCGGTAAGGGCCTGCTGTCGGGACTCTCCCGGTAAGGGCCTGCCGTCGGGACTCTCCCGGTGACGGCCTGCCGTCGGGACTCTCCCGGTAAGGGCCTGCTGTCGGGACTCTCCCGGTAAGGGCCTGCCGTCGGGACTCTCCCGGTGACGGCCTGCCGTCGGGACTCTCCCGGTAAGGGCCTGCTGTCGGGACTCTCCCGGTAAGGGCCTGCCGTCGGGACTCTCCCGGTGACGGCCTGCCGTCGGGACTCTCCCGGTAAGGGCCTGCTGTCGGGACTCTCCCGGTAAGGGCCTGCCATCGGGACTCAGCCGGTGACGGCCTGCCGTCGGGACTCTCCCGGTGACGGCCTGCCGTCGGGACTCCTCTCGCGGTAGGCGGGTGCCGGCAGGGCCCGTCCGGCAGGTGGCAGCGCAGACACACGCTGTAGCCGTGGCTGCCGGCGCTGCTCTCGCACAGCCCCTCCAGGGCTTTCAGCGGCCCCAGGGTGTCTTGGGGCTGAAGAATTTTCACATTACTTAATGCAAAATTCATTGAAAAACATAATTGAGGATCTTAATAATAAATCACGGCAGATTAAAAAACAAACACAGTGGCAGCATGTAGTATGCTGGAAGCTCTTTCAGAATTTCAGAATTATTTTATTCCTTATCTTTCTGAAGCATACATTAAACTCAGCTATACTAACTGAACCAGCTCCTTTATTGATGACACACAGAGCAGCGTATAGCCTAAGAGCTCTTCCAGGAAATCTTCCTTAGTTTGATGCCACCAACCATCTCAGTTCATTGCCTGAGGATCATAATATTTTACATTATTTTCAATCTCCATTTGAGAAACTCAACAAATACAGCAGGCACTTAATTGAGCCTCACAATATTCTGATGACACTCCAACTAATTTCATTTTATTAATGGAAAAAATTGAAGCAAATGGAGAGGAGAGCTAGTTTTCTTTTTCAAACTCAAATGTCTCCCACCTAGCTCTTTACTAATTCTGCATTGTGTTGGCAAAAATGTCAGATAAAGGAGAATCAAGGTGCTAATTGCATACCTGTAAGCCTGACATTTATGTTGACATCCCAGTTGTGAGAAGGCCATGTTTGAGAATCATCAAAGTAATGATGTGCCTGGTCTTCCCTATGGCAGAGCAAAACTCCTACCTTTTTGTGCTAAGACTCGATGAGGAAATCCTGAGTCTGTGTAACTGGTAATGTAACTGGTATTCTAGAGCATCTTCTGCTGTTAAACTGTGGAAATCATATCAAAGTCTAGCATATAGGATTTTTACAAGTAACTTCAGTTTTTTCCCTAAGAAATAGCAAGACAATAGATTAATAATTATTATTAACAATTACTAATATATTCTTACAGCTATATTAAGTTAATATAAAGCTAACTTGCACTTGACATAATCAGAAGTAATAATCCATATTGTTATGATAACTTAAAACCAGTTGGTGAAGGTAAATTCAGTCCCAAGTCCTAGCTTTTTGGAGCATCTTTCCTTGCAGGCTTTTTTCTCAGGTGACTGAGCTGATGTTCAAACTTGGAGGCTGGTCTTACACCGGTGGTCTTGGGAGGTGTTTTGCAGCAACTTTTGGAACCACTTCTAAAGGAGAGGAGCTTTTTAGTGTTTTGTAGGCAATTGGGGGCCACAACTCCTCTTGGGAGTTGATGAGCACAATGTGCCTGCTTATACTTAAAGGGAAAAAAGAGACAAATAAAGGGAATAATTTGTTTCTTGCACATGCAATACTTTTCCTCATCACCTTGTGAAGTGGAAAAGCTATGTAACTGCCCACAGTGGTGTTATGACACTATCTGAAGATGGGAAAGATATATCAGTTTAGTTTTTAAAATGTAAAAGGCATTTCAGAAGGCAGTATGAAGTAACTCTAAGCAAAAATTTGAGAGAGACAGATGGGTAATAGAAAGTGTCATGGCAGTATCTGATCACTGTAAGCCTTGGCTTTGTGTTTGGCAGCATGGGACTAATGTTGTTTGATATAAAGAGAAAAGCATAAATTTTTTAACTACATATCCCTCTTTCTGCAGAATTTTGGGTCTTCCATGAAAGTCTCTTCAAAATATTAATGTAAGCCAATGAGGATCAGAGATCAAGGTGGAATGGCTGCAAGCCTGGATAATGTATGCAGGTATTGCCAGCTACTCCAACAGCAGGCAAAACTGTTCCCTTCTGCACAGAGCTCTTTGGAAAGGAGAAATGCGTAAACCTTTAGACTTTAGCACATGGGAAAAAAACCTATGTTGCTTTCTGGCACTGTCTCAGAAGCTATTCAGCATATGGCTGGCTTTTCAACATATAAACTAGTCAGGACAAACATGCAGGTTTTTTTTCTTTGGGTTTTGTTCTTTGTTGTTTTTTGGGGTTTTTTAAAAATTAATTTTCTAGTTCTTATTTCATTTCAAATGCTCAAGGAATCAGCTGAAACTACTAAAACTTTTAAATGTTTAAGGATGTCAGACTAGCAGAGTGAAAATGGACAGAAAGCTGCTGGGCCCAGCATTACATTTTCCTATCTAGAACAGGGCAAGCTGGATGGTGTGAGGGAAGCTGGTCCATTACTCTTAACGAAATATGGCAGAGCCTAGGGTTTGGGAATAATTAGATACCAGTCACAACCATTTCTAGATCGTCTCCAGACACAGATACTACTGCATCAGCATCATGGAAGCAAATCCAGTATCTATTTGACAAGAAAGTACTTGCCTCTTGTTGGTTCAAGCTCTGGGATGATGTACATCTTTGATACACCATTCCAGTGTAACTTCATGTAGTGAAATTAAGAGGGATAAATTTGGGGGCTTTACTGTGTCCTCCAAATAACTTGTTTGAGCTTTCCAATCTATTTAGGAATAACTGAAATGTGTTGCCTATAAAAATGAACTGGAAGGACTCCATCATCCTACAAACCTGTCAGTTCTCTATTTAATGATAATTAACTCCTAAATAATTTACAGTCTCCTTTCTCTTACTAAAAACTAAAGCAATCAGGAACTTTATATTGTTGCCCATATATATATAGTCAGGTACCAGAGGGTGGAGATGACTTACCTTAAACAGCAAGGTACTTATACTGTTAATTTGACCTGTGGATACAAATCCCTGCACTCATTAAGGGATCAGATTTTTCTTGAACTTTACATATCTTAGGGATCTGTGTAGGTACAGGTGTGTAGGGGGTGGCCAGGCTTCTGTTTAGAAGGACAGTAATCCCAACAACAGCAGCTGTTACCACAGATCAGCAGGAGAAAAGCACTATCACACTTTATTTGTATGCTACAAAATTCATTGTTGAACTTTATTAGGTACTTTAATACCAAGCATACTTTAAAGTAACAAAAATTATTGTTATTACTTTTTACAGAAAATCAGGTATTTCAACAGTTTTCTTTACAGTTTGTTGACTTTAAAAAAAAATTACAATTGACAAGTTACAATTGAGTGGGATGGGAAAGCCGTAACATTTAAAAAGATAAAACATACTATTCATACTGAGTCAACATTTAGTGATGTACATCCTGATCTCCTTCTGACTGTGTACAAATGGTACATATTCACTGAGCTGCCCTAACAGGGTTGTGAGGTCTTGTGGTGACACTTTTTTTGCAACGTTTGTGTATATTTAGAAAGAGCTTTTATATTACACAGCCACCATGATGCAAAACTTAGTAGCCCATAACAAAATAATGTATTACAGAAAAACCCTGTTTCAGTGATTTCTGATTTTTTGTCACAGCAGAAGTGCCACGACTGCTATAATGTGGGATAGAGGTAAACCCAAGGAGCAAATGAAGACAGTGATACGACAGCACATCCAGATAGCAAACCCTTTCACAGGCTTTTGAGGTGAGACTGTGGCTGTGAGCCAACAAGAGCAGTGAATGAGGATGGGCTTCATGGAGACACGATTTAACAATGACTCCTGAATGCATGCAGCCCTAAGGGATGTGCGTTTTCCAGCTGACACTGGTTGGACTAATCACAGACTTCAAAACCTATCTGAAGTGGGACCTTAATGAGTTTATGCGGTCTCATGTGTAAACTACTTTATTTTTACCTTCCATCCCCTTCAGGTCAGCAGTGGGTACTGGGAATATATTTATGGTGGTTGATTGATCTGGGTGGGGTTTTTGACTGCCTCTAAACCTGGTCCTGTGGAAGTCAGTGGAGTCTCCTACACACAGTTATGAGAGCAGATTTGGATTAAAACAAGTTTTCTTAAAAAAATGCTGCCCAGATTTACACATAAATTTACTTGGTAGTTATCCACATTAGCGTTCAGTCTCTAAGATAAGCAGTGCCACACTGGTACCTTGGTAGTTAGATAGAAGAGTTATCTAATTCCCTGTATTTATTTACTGACAGTTTGTTTAAAGATGGGTTTTATTTAAAAAAATAAAAGATAAGACCACGCACAAAATTTTGGAATAATTTGTGTTGTGTAGCCAATAGACAAAAACCAGTTTTAACTCATGTTTTACTCATGTCTTCAGTGTATTGTGTTATTTGGGAACTACATTAGCAATGAATTATTATTTTAACCATTCCCCCAAAAAGCCATAGAATGAAGCAACAGGCTTAAAAAATCTGAAGAAATTAGCATTGCAGTGCTCATTTTGGGCTGGATTCAGATGCAATACGCATGAGAGGGTAGAAGAAATGTAGGAAGCAGCATGCTCCTGCCCAGTCCTGAGCCAGAAGATGTGTGCCATGCTGGGAGGTACTGGAGAGGAGGAGCAGAGGAGAAGGGGTCCCTGCTTCCCTCCATTGCTCTGTGCCTGGCACTTGGCATCCAGACCTTTCACTATGACATCTTGATATCTTGTGCCTTCCCCTGTTTTAGTGCTCAGTGGATTCTGGAAATGAGGGTGCCTTTGAGGAGTGACCTGTTGAGCCCCTGTGGGGGGAAGCACCAGCCTCACCAATGCCCCAAGGCTCTGCACCCTCAGCCCTCACATAGCTATTTGCAATGTGTATTTGTTTACTAGTCTCTTAATTTATGAATTGAGTTTAAGGCCAGAAGGGATTGTTAGATCACTTCACCTGATTGGCATTAGCACAGGCCAGAGAGTGTCACTCAGCGGTTATATGGCAGAACAAGGAAAAGAATAGAAAGACCCTTGCAGTGAGCAGTGGTATGTTACATTTAAGGGGTAAATTACTTTCTCCTACTAAAAAATAAATCAAGTGCTTTTATTTTGTCACTTCAAATACAAACAATTCTATGTGTCTTGGGAAATTATAGTAATATGATATTCAATCAGACATATCTTATAGTATATATGCTTCATAGAACTAGAATATAAGTCAGAAATAATTTTTCAGTCAAGTTTGTTACAGACATAGATTAATTGGAACACATATACAGTAAAAATTGAGAAGCTTTACAGTTTTAGTCAACTTATTATACAGTGAAGTAAATGAAGTGCAGCAATGTAGCAGTAAAAGTTATGCTTTTTCCACTAAGTGATGGAAACATTCAGAGAGTCTATTGTAAATGCTAATTTAAGAGATGTCCTATCAGCTTCTTGGCTACTGGGATAGGAATAGTCTGGAGTTAACTGCCTCTCTACTGTGAAAGGTTTTAAAGCTTTTTGCTTTCCGTCCGAATAAAAAAAATGACATTTACAAACCTCTTGAATGCATATATATTACATATGTTTATCTAGCAACAACTACACCCCTTTTAATTTATTCCCCAAATGTGACTTTTCATGCATGTCTTCTGGATGCTGCATTCAGCAACAGTTTCTAATGAGCTGGTGTGTAATCCATGATTGCATTTCTCTTCTGAAAATCACTTCCACGTCTGGCTGATCTATGTTTAGAAGGTGGCGCTTACCCATCAGGCGTTTTTGCACTCGTCATCGTTCTTCTCTGTCGGAGGCCCTTTCCCAAGCTTCTTCCCATTTTAATGTTGATGTACAAAAGCTGTTATTCGTTTTGTTTTGTGCTCATTCTAGTGAAGATTGGCTTAGTAGGACTGTGCAAAACAGAGAGAAGAGAGAAGCTGGTTTACTGCCAGTGAACAAAAAGATGGTCACGCTGTGCTTGGCTCAGGACAAGCCTCTGATCAATATTCTAATATACTTCATTATTTGCATTTCCATTTATCATGAAAAATGACAAGTTTAATCTTCAGTTATGACAAGGATTTGTTATCTGGAATTTTTATACATCAGTTTTCATCAGCTAATCGACATGGGAAGTCAAAATATTGAGATTGTTTCATCTAAAGTTTGAACAATATGAAAATAAAGATACAATGTCTATGGGGCAAGAATGACATTTGTTAGGTGAATATCATGAATCAAGTTAAAATCCTGACACTTCTGTTCCGTATCAATAATTTCTTTCACTCCCCTGAGCACACAATCTACATTCATAAAGAAGATGAAATAATACCTTGTGTTAAATTTCAAGGGAGCATACCCCAATGAGGAAAGAGGTGCTTTCAACCCAAACTCTCTCTTAAAAACTAGTTCTCACCCATCCAGTTTCCACATACTGTAAACAGAGCTGCATACACAGGAGAGCGGACACTGTCTGCAGTGACACAGTGAACAGGGTGACAAAGGCTCCCCCCTCCTTGCTGGAGGTGACTGCCCATAAGTCGGTGTCGGAGGGGAGAACAGGGGCCTAATGAGAATGTCTGTTTATAAGTACTCACGTACACGCAAATATAAAAACCTGACTGCTCGGGCATTTGGCATAGAACAGAAGGTTCTTGCACCAGAGATCTGCAAATTCACCATTAGTTAAACTCTCCTGGATCACTCAGACCAAATCACGATGTCATTTGGCAGGCAGCCTCCCCACTGCCTCCTGTGAAAGGGTCACTGGTCAGAGGTCCTACAAGCTCGCAGCCTGGGGGAGAGGACAGCCACTTTCATCGCAAACCCGCTCCCCCCATCATAATGCAGGGGACTCTGCAGGAGACTGCTGGAATGCAGAACTTGGGGAAATCACAAAAGGAATGAATTTCATTGTGAAATGTCAGTGAACTAAGTGTTTCAGAACTAGAAACTCAAAAATGGTACTGTAAGCAGACTGTCATGTCACCCCCCACATTACATGGAGTAGCCACCTTCTCCCATTCCCACCAATTCCTTACACACCTTGACCCTCATGGTCACCTTCTCCTGCTGCTAATGCACCCACAGACACCAGGGAGAGTGTCTGCCCCAGAGCAGGATGCCCAGACCTGAGAGCTTGGGATGTGGTACCATGAACTGGGGGGGGGGTCTGGTGCTGACTAACCCTTCTGCTGCAGACCCTGCTTCCCCCATCAACTTCCAACAAATTGACATTTTTCAAGCAAAGTTTATTTTGGAGGAAAATTTCTGACTTGTTATAGCCCATAGGTGTTCAGCATGTATGTGTAGTCCAAATATATTTTATAAAGGTGACACTTCTAATTGATGTTGTTGAGACTAGACAGTAGCAAATAAACTATGCAAGAAGCATTAGGTGAGCTAAGGAGGGTCCTGCAGAACACAAATGGATCAGTTTTACTTTTATCAGAAATGAATACAAAATATAGTGTTCACTGTAATAAAAGCATTTTAATGTTGTGAGTATGTAATGGGGATGGTAGTTTCCAATTGTGTAAGAAAACTTGCTATTGATAGCTCCATGAGCTTCCTTTTTCCCTTTAAAATATGTAGCAAAAATGAAGGATAAAGAATGGATGAGAAATCCACATATTTGTAATAAATAAAATCTATTAAAAATGGCCTGCATCTGGAATTTTGGTGTATTTTATTAATATGGTTACTAATGTAATTAATAAGGTAATTTTAAATATATGTAAGTAGCACTACTAAATAAAAGAAAGAAAAAGTTCTTGAGCTTATTTGCTAAGTGAGATATGGGGTTTTGTGAGCCTCTTAAAAAATCCACAGCTGGTAAAACTGAAATCCAGGGAAAGTCAAAGTTTCATGGTGAGGAGCATGTGCCCTGACACTCCTAGGAACAATCTAAACTTAATAGAACTGAATGAGCCATTTCTTTCAATTATTTTAAATTGTAATTTCATGTACCTGTGTTATTCAAATTCTTAACAGTGCTTATGGAATTTCCAGCAGTACCCAGTGTTTCATGTGTACCATATTAAACCCTTTATTATTTCTTTAGACAAATTTTGCACACAGGTGTTATATATATGGAAATTAAATTAAATAAATGCCAGAAGTGCCTACTTGATAAGGTAGAAATAAGTCATTCACATCCAACATCCCTCAGTCCACTTTGTATCACATCATAGGCTTTTGACTCCTTGAAGTTTCTTTTCTTAAGCTACTTACAACCCTTTTCTAGTGCTGTTGCCTAGAAATCAGTTAATGAAAGTAGTCTTGTGAAAGCCATATTACCCAAACCACCTAGGTGCTCTGCTGTTAAATTCTCTATTAAGTCTTGAAAGGCTGCCTGTTAGGCTGACATCCTGACAACACAGTTACTCATCTTTGACCTGTTCAATTAGGGCAGTCACTTCTATTGACTGCAGAGCTGGGGTACAGTCAACCTGGAGGGATTTACGACATTTTAGTGTTTATGTATATTTTCAGAGAGAGGCCACGGATATTTCTTTGTTTTGAAGATGAATCATGGGGATTTCCAGGTTGCTCCCTGCCAAGTTATAAAGCATGTACTGCATTTCAGGTAGTCCCTTACATGCTGTTACTGTAAAGGCAGTCAGATTGATAGTAAATATACAGATAAAGGCAGACCTTCTAGGTCTGAATATATGTTCTCTCCAATAATCTTAACATTTTACACCATCAGTTGTCACCAGCCATATTTATACAATTTTCTTTGCCATTTATTTGACTGGCATCTAGAAAGTAACACCTTTCCAAGAGTTAATATGTTATTTTTGCCTCCAAACACACAAAATTACTGAGATAAAGAGCAACTGGCATTCATGGTCACACCAAAATTGGTGCTATTCCAAAACCACATCAGCTGTCAGAAGCCCATGGGCTAATGAAGCACCAGAGATTTCTTCCCAGTGCCTTCACAGTACTCCTCTAGCCTAGAGAGCGACGTTATCTCTCTTGAATGCTGGTGCTGTGTTTGGTGTATGGGAGGAGATGAAGGTGGAGAGAAACATTGCTGCTGAAGGTCTGCAATTGAAAACAGACATGCTAAGGCACCTTGGATAACACTGCTGCCTGGGCTGCAGGCCAAAAAAAATTGGAGAAGTTCAGTTTTAATGAGGTGCTTGGAGTTCTCGCCTTTCTGCTTATGATTTGGGTCAGTTCCTTGTAAGCACAGGTAGATGGTTTTGTTTACATCAGGGTTGGCGCAATGCTCAGTATGTTAAAACTCCACTGCTACTGCATCCCAAAATTCAAATAGCAACACGCATTCAGGGTCTGGGCAATATCCAGATGTGTGTAATTAAAAGGCATGAAAGGTGTGTAGATGCCCAGCTGCATGGGGCAGCCAATGGAAGCTTCAGTGAAATCTTCTAATTTCCCTTTAAAACACATAACAAAACCTATCTGAGTGTACTGAGAAAGAAATTTTGTTTTCCAGGTGATGAGAGAGGAATAATGTGTATTCCCATTTTCCTACCTGCTGTGGGTGCCTTTTCCCTCTTAATGCGCCGAGGATCCTTTGCCTTGGCCTCATGGGAGGGTGCTTATGCATTTCCTGGAGAGCCACCCCGGGGCAAATACTGTGCTCTCAATAGACAACTAGACACCAACTCAGGTCTTCTCCAAACTCTAAGAGACCTGGTGATCCAAGCTGAAACTCCAGCATGTGTTTTGGAGATGCTGTCCAGAGATCATCCTGGAAACAGCTGTGTGGCCAGGAGGTGAATAAGTTGTGCTCTCTGGTGCACTGCAGTTTAGAACACATTAAGGAGGGGACAAAGCTGCCCTATGGAGATGGAAGGAAAAATGAACAGAAGTTCCCCAACCGTTTTTCTGGCTACCGTCTTTCAGCGTTTCACTGTTCAGCATCTTCTTAACAAAACATGATAAATGACCTGTCCACACCAGAGGTGCCTAAGTGCATTTTCTCCTCTTGGCAAACCAGCAGGCAGGATCTGGCTACTGCCTGCTCTGCTGTCACTCACAGCTACTGAAGGCTACAGAGGGCAGGGTTTAAAGAGACTGCACAGCAAACCTTGAGGAGTTACTAAAACTTTTACAAAACTTTGGGATTGAAATTGTGTGATGGTTTTGTCTGTATGGCATTAGAGGAGAAGCTCGTCTCAGCAGAAGGGTGCCTGAGCTGACTCTTTTGCTGCAGCACTTCCTTGCAATAAAACAGAATTGAATCATATAAAAAATAACACGGTTTTTACCAATTTGGTATGCAAGCCCTGTGAAACCAGAATTGAGTGGAATGGTAGAACTTAATCAGCAAGGTGGTACTTTGTGCACTCTATTAGTGGCAGCAGCTGAACTCCTGGGCAAGAGCTGTAGGAAATGTTTCCAGAGCTGTAGGAAATGGTTTTCGGGAGCATTTAAGAATTTTCTAAATGTCTATCAAAAGGTCATTCAGGCTGTTTTGCAGGCAGAAGGCTCAGTTCATGGCTGCACTTCTAGCATCTGAGAAGACATCTAGCATCTATGCATTTCTAGCATCTGAGAAGACAGTTTCAGGGCCACAGGGGTGATGATGGTCAGAGTTAACCACTAAACAGACAGAATGCTGCTTTATTAGACACACTTTTCCAAAAAGAAACAGAAAAATGCATGAAAGATCCAGTCAGATCAATTTTGCCAGGTTGCTGGTATCCGTGTACAACACACAGCTGGACAGACCTTTGCCATCAACAACTCGTATGCTGTCACTCACAAGGAAAAACCCAGAGCGTTGGCAGACCTAAAGCTACACTTCTTGCACAGTTAATGCTCCCAGTGACTGCCCTGCTGGCCAGATCCTGCTCTTCCCTACCAGACTCTGGCCAATTCTTGTAGTTTTAAAATCCAATTTATTCTTACATTGTTTTTTTGCCCCTTTTTC